TTTTTTAAGAAAAAATGGATAGCATTTTCGATTTGATCACACCTCAAAACCCTAAATACAAAGTTTCATTATTATAGCTTTTACAGGGTGTTCACAAAATAGGTGCAAACTTCGAAACATTTCACTTATTGCAAAGTGTCCTGTATTAACAGTGAAAAATATTTTCAAGATATTTTTTCATAATATTGGCCACAGATATATCCATGCAGTTTCATTGATTTCACTCATACAGGGTGCTCACAATAGGACAGCCGAATTATATATATATATATATAGGTACATTACATAGGTACATTACAAACGCTAAGACCTCCGCTATAATCGCGGGCGCTCAAGCCTCCACTATACCTGATGTATTTTTAATAAAACTAAAATCATATTTGACATAAGGGGGGCATCAGTAACAAAGATCTCAACCGAGGGGTAACAGTTTCCTCTAATATTTTAGATTACATATATGAATCGCTATGACCTCAACCGTACGTTGAGGCTTCCAGCGTAGTTGCCGCTTTTCTCCCACCAAGATTCTCCTTTATTCATCCTTTTAGGCCAGAAACATGTTCTGTTGGTAAAGTGAATTTAAATTTCGTACTAGATATGCACTTAGCACTTATAATAAAAAAATAAATATGTGGAAAATGCCAAAGTATTTTTAGTTAGGGCAGATAACAAATCGAAAACAACTTATATTAGGTAATCAAGATAGAATTTTGTAAAAGTGAATTTGTGCACTTTACCGTAGGAGAATGTGCACTTATACTAAAAAAATTTTGTGAAAAATGTCGGAGAGTTCTTTTCGTTTTAGTTAGGAGAGATAAATTAAAAAGACATTATGTTACTTAACATATGATTTATTTTTCAGTTATAACATAACTTATTATTCAGTTGTTTTCGAAAAACATTATTATTAATACGGAAGAAACTTATAACGTAACACATGTCATTTTCATAAATTGAACAGTGTCAAATAATAAAAAAATGTTTAAAAAATGTTATTTTTTTTGTTTAATTTTCATCAAATGTTGAAGTTTTGATTTAACTGCAGCGGGCTCTCTTGAAATATTATTTTTATCCAAAAACTTTCTAATTTCATCCGTCGTAGGATAAATGTTTTTGGCTAAATATTTGTGGAACGTTGTTTTTAACAGAGACACCTCTTTTGTAGACCATCCTGAAAAAATTCACTGTTATAGTCGCCTACCCGCTTAACGTTAGTGTGCACAGTTTTAAAATAATTTAAATAAAAACGGAAATTGTGGACTTTTCGAAATGTGTGTTTGTACCGTCGCGAATAAAAATAAATTGCTACACTATATAAAAAAGTCCTAGAGTATTACCTTGAAATTTGTCAAGATTGATAACATATTAACGTATCTAAACCTGTAAAAAATTTCAATTCAACTAATAGGAGTATATTCACTGTAGCAGTTTTTTTTTATCGCGATACGTTGGTTCAACATACCTCGTGATCATAAATATTATTCTTTGCAGCGTTAAGTTCATATGAATCATACGAGATAAAAGTAAACTTTTTAAAAATCCAAAATAAAAATCGAAAAAACCCGCACGTTAAGAGTGATACCGACTATAACTACACTGCACAGAAATTATGGAATACTTAAAAAAATAGGTAAGGTTTGGAAACCTATAACTTAGCATTTTAGTAATTTTAAAATGTTCAGGTTTGTCAACGAATCTTGAAAATGATTGCCAAGTTTTCCGAAGATACCTAGTGTACATACTAGGGAAAATTTGCTAACAAACCTACACTATACTTTTTAAATTACGTAAATATTAATGTAAAGTTACGGGCCTCCATACATATTTTTTGAGATATCCCATAATCTCTGTATGAAATGCATATTGGATTTTATAAGTTCTTGAAATCCTAAATTGCAAATGGCATCTTTCCACACTTACTCATTTTTCTATTCCCGGTTCGATTTGATTCTCCTGTTTTGTTATTCCCGGCTCGACCAAATTCACATTTGTCCTTTTTCTCAGTTTCATCTTCTTCCTGAAAACATCTTTCTATATTCCCTTCTGTAAAATCTTCCATTTCACTTTCCTATAAAAAGTCGATTTTGTAATTACCCACTGAAAAAAATCACTATTTATTTGTAAGTACTAAATACCTTGGTCAAAACTTTTCTCGGTTTTGTTATACACAGTTTCTCTTCATTCGGTGAACAATTTGACTTCTGTTCGTTTAACCGTTCTTTACACATGTCCTCTATTTCCATATCTTCATCAACTTCTTCAGCACGAACCCCGTCGTCATAATGGCTTTTTAATCCTCCCAGATCGTTTTCTTCAGCAAATTTGAAATCGATATCGATCTCTGATAAGGATTTTCCCTTATGTTCCACAGGTACTCCGTTTTCGATCATCAGCAAAAGTTTTGACACTTTTGCTGTCTGATAAACATCTACAGGAAGTCTGAAAATCAATATATATTAAAAAAACACAATTTAAAGAAATTCAATAATATTACTCGTAAAACTCTTCATGAGTCTTAACCGTATGACCCATGAAATTAGAAAACTGTTTGATATCGTCTTTCGATAGACTCAAGATTTGCATGACCGTGGCAATTTGTTTTCTTAGACGATTACTAGTAAAGGCAGCTGGGTTTTGCAAGGGCATTCGTTTAGCGAGGTTTCTAATAGCTAAATCTCCTCTTCCCCACTTCACCTTGTGTCCTGGGATTGAAAACAGGTAGTCGTTATCTTCGAAAAAATACTTGTGTCTATGTTTCAAAAAAACATTAATAAAATCGTCAATTAGGTATTAGAACGACCACTGCTCGAGATCCTTTACCACTATTGAGCACCCTCCTGTAACGTGTTGCTAAGACTTTTTCAGTTGTGGATAACGCTTCTTCAAAATCTTTGAAGTTACTTTTTTGCTCATTTTTGTAGTCTGATATTTTCATATACTGTACATCACAAATTCGTCTTCTATAAAAAATTATTAGTAATGATAGGACACATCGCACAAGAGTTTTGTAGTCAACCTCTGTATGTTGGCCTTCCTTAAAAGCTGAAGCACATCTCCTGGCAATTTCATAGGTTTGCTCTCTAAAAAGCTTGATATCAGACACCAATGGAATTAATAGTGGCTTATTCCATTTTTTTTCATGTAAATCTTTGTTTGCTAAAGAAGACAATTCAATGTTCCACCTGGATATAATTATTTGTTTCATGTTCTTGACATCCTTCAATGCAGCAATTTTATTACTGTGCGTGCTCGATTTAAAACCTTTCGTATCTTTTAGAATTAAGTAGTAGAGCTCATCACAAAAAATTTTTAAGTTTCCTCCAAAATGCAATGCCAGGCTAGGTGCAGCAAAACTTTTTTTGATGGGATCGTAGCCAGCTAAACTTCTCACTGCAGTTACAATAGTGTCAAAATAAGTAGGACGAAGTAAATTTTGTATCTCTAGTTTTGGTTTTTTGATAAGCTTGCGGCATTCTGTAAGTAATCTCCCAAATTCTCTCATTTTATTGCTACACGTATATGTACTTTTCTCCTGTTTGTGTTTCTTTAGATAGGAGTTCCCAAAACATGTTATTAACAAATCTTTTTTTGCTGCAAATGCAATTTCATCTCCTCTCATCATATCGAACACTTTTTCTTTCACCTCCAGTCGATTTACCGTATTTGTTTGGTCCAGATTGCAAGCAGTGAATGTTTGTGATTTTGAGACAGCATTGGAAGCAATTTCCTCGTGTTTTACAGATTTAGAAGAGCATAATTTCACATGCCTTCTCAGATAAGATTTTTTGTACAAACCTTTACAAAATGTGCATGGATAATGCAGAGACTCCGGATTTTTCCTTGATTTCTCGTCGTCAAATTTTCTACGTGCGGGCAGAATATCACCGCAGAGATATCGTTCGAAGTGAGTCTCCTTTCGTAATGCTGCTAATGCACCTTTCCTCGCTTTACTATTCAAAGGCTCTCTCAAAATTTTTTTTACTTCCACTTCGCTGGAATGTCGCCTCATCAAATGGCGCATAAAATTCTTAGAGATTGTGTCTTCCTCGCAAAAAATACACTTCACAAATCGAGTTTTCAAACGTTTTGTTTCTTTTAAATGGCTGGCTATGGACCTGCTAACCTGCAACACATTTACTTCCGGTTTTTTAATTTGAATGTCTTGTAAAATGATAACGTTTGGTTGTTTTTTCTTTTTGGAATTCACGAGATCAAAATCCTCCTCAACAATTTCGCTTTCAGTAGCCAAATCCTCCTGATCATCGCTCCCAGTCCCACTATCGAGTAGGTCACCGGAGTCGATTTCAAAATCGGAATCTTTAAATGAACAGTCGGACACGTCCGACGGATCGGTTTCTACAACATTTTGCAGAGATATCAAGGGGGGATTTGATTCTTCGTTATCAATCTGGAAAAAAAATTGTTAAATCTTAAATTTACGACGTTTTTCTATTGAGATTTTCCTTATACCTATTAAATGAGATTCACAATATGTCAAAATAATTTCTTCTTGTTAGTTATTTTTTAGGTCTTGTCAAATAAGTTTCCCCAAAATCAAATGAAATTCCCATTTTGTCACTTCCTTTCAATCGTAACTGATACATTTTAAATTAAATTTATTTTATTTTTTTTTTTATACGCCTACGGTGGAACCTATACCTAGGTCATCGCTTTCAACAAAAGTTATTTTGTTATGACAAAAAGGAAATTTCTTTTGTAAAAGGAAAAATACGTTTGACAGTGTGGGAAATTATTTTAAAATATTATGGATCTCATTCAGAATTAATATAAAAAAATGTGTCAATTGCCCTCGAGAGAAACTTTGTTATAACAAAATGGGAATGGCATTTGGAAATAGGGAAATTCATTTGGAAAAACCTAAAAAATAACTAACAAAAAGGAATTATTTTGATATATTGTGAATCGCATTTGTAACCCGTATAAGGGGAAACTCAACAGTAAAATACCATAAATTTAAGATTTAATAAGTTTTTTCCAGATTAGTAGCAAAGAATTAAATGCCCACTTGATATCTCTGGAAAATGAATTGTAGAAACCGATCCGTCGGACGCTTGCGACTTACATTTAAGGATCTCGATTCTGAAATCGACTCCAATCGCCTACTCAATAGCGGGACTGAGAACAATGATCAGGGGGATTTCGCTGCTGACAGCGAAATAGTTGCTGAGGAGTTTGATCTCGTGAAATCCAAAAAGAGAAAGAACAAAACTCTCTCATTTTAGAAGACATTCAAATTAAAAACCGGAAGAAAATGGGTCGCAGGTTTGCAGGTTCATAGCTAGTCATCAAAAAGAAAAAAAAAACATTTAAAAACTCGATTTGAGAAATGTATTTTTTGCGAGGAAGACACAATTTTTAAGAATTTCATGCGCCATTTGAAAGATGACACTCCACCGAAATAGAAGTAAAAAAAAATTAATAGAGCTTTTGAGTAGTAAAGCGAGGAAAGGTGTATTAGCATTATCCATGCATATTTTGTAAAGGTTTGTATAAAAAATGCTGTCTCAAAATCACAAGCATTCACTGCTTGCAACCTAAACCAAACAAATACGGTAGTTCGATTGGAGGTGAATGAAAAATTGTTCGAGAAGATAAGAGCAGATGAAATACTATTTGCAGCAAAAAATGATTTGTTAATAACATTTTGGGAACTACTATCTGTACCTATACGTGTAGCAATAAAATGAGAGAATTTGGGAGATTACTTACAGAATGCCGCAAGCTTATCAAAAATGCAAAACTAGAGATGTAAAATTTACATCGTCTTACTTATTTTGACACTATCGTAATTGCAGTGAGAAATTTAGCTGGATACGATCCGATCAAAGAAAGGTTTCCTGCGCCTAACTTGGCATTGCATTTTGAAGAAAACTTAAAAATTCTTTATAATCTCTACTATTTAATCCTAAACGATAGCTACGAAAGGTTTTAAATCGAGCACGCACAGTAATAACATTGCTGCATTGAAGGATGTCAACAATATGAAACGGCTAATTATTTCCAGGTGGAACATATTGAAACGTCTTCATTTGAACAAGGATTTACTTGAAAGAAATTGACATAAGCCCCGCCCCTATTAATTTAATTGGTGTCTAACATCAAGCATTTTAGAGAGCAAATTTTTTTGGAAAGCAAAATCGAGGTAGAGAATGACTACAAAATTCTTGTGCAATGTGTCCTGTCATTATCCATAATTTTTTATAGAAAACGAATTTGTGATGTACAGTACATATATGAAAATATCAGACTACAAAAATGAAATAAAATAACTTCAAGGATTTTAAAGAAGCGCCATCCACACCTGGAAAAGTCTTAACAACACGTTGCAGGAGGGTGCTCAATAGTGGTAAATTATCTTGAGCAGTGGTCATTTTAATACCTGAAGATATTATTGACAAATTTATTCATGTTTTTTGAAACGCAGACACAAGTATTTTTGTGAAGATAACTACCAGGTACATGTTTTCAATCCCAGGACACAAAGTAAAGTGGGGAAGAGATTTAACTATTAGAAACATCGCTAAGCGAATGCCCTTCGAAAATCCTGCTGCCATTACTAGCAATCATCAAAGAAAAATTGCGACGGTCATGCAAATCTTGAGTCTGTTGAAAGGAGATTTCACACAGTTTTCTAATTAATATTCTTGAATTTCTTTAAATTGATTGTTTCTATATATTGATTTTCAGAATTTCTGTGGATGTTTATCAGACAGCATTTGACAGACATTTGACAAGTGTCAAAACTTTTGCTGATGATCGAAAATGGTGTACCTGTATTTAGGATTAAAAAGCCATCATGACGACGGGGTTCGTGTCGAAGAAGTTGATGAAAATATGGTTATCGATATAGACGGTTTCTACAACATTTTGCAATGATATGAAAGGGCATTTGATTCTTCGATACCAATCTGGAAAAAAACTTGTTAAATCTTAATTTTATGGCGTTTTCTATTGAGATTTTCCTTATATCAAATGAGATTCACAATATATCAAAATAATTTCTTCTTGTTATTTTATTTTTTAGGTCTTGTCAAATGAGTTTCCCCAATTTCAAGTGAAATTCCCATTTTGTCACAACAAGATCACTCTCTTTCAAGCATAACTGATATATTTTTTTGTATTAATTTATTTTAATTTTTTCTATACGCCTACGGTAGAACATATACCTATAATAGGTCATCGTTTTCGACAACATTCTAAACTGATTTATAAGATATAATTGATATAGAGAGTGGTTTTGTTATGGCGAAAAGAAAGAGAAAGAAAAATAATTTCGAAGTTATAGAATTCATCGGGTTATTAGGCTGTCGTCCAAGGAAAAATTTCCTGACGTTTCGCAAGCGAGCGTGGCTAGCATCTTCAGAGGCAGTGTTAGCCAAGGCGATTCGTCTGGTTCGGTGCGAAACTTACTTCTCGAATATAAGTACAATTTTGACTCACAGTAATAAAATGTTTATACAAGTCCAAATACACGCTTATGAAATTTTTTTTATCTGTGGTACTACAATATGTACACATACCTAATTAGAATAAAAAATTTTTAATCTACAAAAAACAAAATTCAGACAGATAAGTGCAAATCAAAAATGCAGCGATACTTAATAGGGTCAATTGAGCTCAAGTAAAATATTGGGTTATCCTTTTTTTACCAACAAACTGCAATAGTATATTCCATACTGATGTGGAATGTAGTTGATTACTATCAAGAGGCTTTCTAGGTTACCTAGGCGCGAAGTGCAGAAGTAAACTATGTCTCGAATGTGTCGAAAAAAATTATGATTTTATATTGCGTTGTGATTCCAAGTTTTTTCAATTCAAAGAAGTAGGTATATACTGTTTCAAAAAAGAAGAGCTAAATACGATAAAGCAAACTCCCAAAAAAAGTTACAAAGCAATTTTGAATTTTTTTAGAAAAAAGAAATCCCAAAAAGTTTTAAATATATAAAGTGGGGTTTAAAAATTGCATTTAACCTGAAAATAATGAAAGTTGACATTTCAATTTTGTCAGTGCAGTGTCGTGGGCACCGACACGTTTCTGAGTATTCTTAAAGAAAAAAATGATACGCCACTGATTTTGCTTAAAATAAAAATTATCTTTGAATTTCCTGTTCAATTTTATAGAGTAAAGTTCTCTTGACGTTTTTGTACGATGAAACTTTTTCGAGAAAAAAAAGCGTAATCCGGTTTTTATAATTTGAAAAATACCTAGCAGAAATTAATACGCTTAGTTTCTTTGTATCAGTTTTAATACAAAAAAATCCTAATCAAATTAATATAATGTTAAATGACACTAGTAATAATTTTTTGTAATTAAACTGTTACGAAAAAAAGTGTATTACTTTCTACTATTTTTCAAATTAAACAACCGCTATGCAATTAATCGATATTAACTTTTTTTGCTCGAAAGCGACACGTACAAAAAAATCCACAAGGGAACTTTACTTATCAAAACAACAAAAAAATATTTATTTCATACTTCGAGTAAATCCACTTCCCCTGCATTGATTTGCAACCGGTAAATCGTACATTACGGTACCTGATACCGTAATGTTGTTGCCAGTTGCTAGTAACTTTTGCAAACTGTTATCATTAAATCTTATATTAAGTGCCATACACAATCTGGTGTCCAGTTGGCCACTTTCAATTGTTGTGTTCGTCAAACGAGCTAAATTGAATTGTCGTCACTGTCGTCAAAATACCTTCCGAAATTAATTAAAAATCAGTATTTATATTCAGGCCCGACAGTATGAAATAAAATATCATACGATACACGGCCGTTAGGTGTTGGTACAGTACTGGTTTCTTTTCCAGACTCGGCTCCTAACGTCGCCTCGTCCGTAAAAAACTTATACTGTCATAAGTCACCTACCGGCCTAAAGTAAAATACTACTGTCTGAAGAAAAAACAGTGGCGTATAATATTTTTCTTCAATTGAGTTAATACTCAAATGCACACCTTATCCTCCGGTTGCTTAAAAAACGAATATACACTTAACTTAATGAAAAACCGAATTATAATAATTATAAGTCCATTTCGAACAGATTAAGGTATATTATTTTGCTATTCACTTATTTGACGAACCTTATACCTACCTGAAAAATTGGAATTCTCTTTGGGCTGAAGATTACTTTCAGTTGAGTAGTCGAAACTAGAAATTGAGAAATGAAGACCTACTAGCTGTTTGTTTTTTTATATACATATTTTTTCTCTAAAATTATCCAGAGACGTGCCTGTGCCCACGCCACTGGCAAAATTGAAATAACAGTTGTCGTAAAACATGTGTTGTTACTGTCAAAATATGTAAAATCTCATTAAACTATTCCAAGGGGAGAATAAATTTGCATTTTTTTTTCAAATTTGACATATAGATCGCAACCTAAGCGTTTT